ATTAAATTTATGAATAAATATATAATAAATATGATGTATAAAAACAAAATAATATATTTTTAAGTTATATATAAATGTTTTTTTAGTTTTATTTTTATGTAAGTATTTAATTTAATATATCTAAGTAGACAATAATTAAAAGTAAGTTTTCAAGTATTTTATTTGAATTTTATTTTTTAAAATAATTTTATTTAATATAATTTAATCATGATGTATAACATATATTATATATTTATTTTTTATTATTATTTGTTTTTTTATTTTTTTTAAAAAAAAAAATTGATTCCTACAAACATGAGAATGATAAAACCTCCCATTAACTATGGAATGGCTAATCCCATGGAGATGAGTTTTGTCATTCCTATTGGAATGGTCATTCATTTCAAAAAAATATACCAATAATGGGATAAACAATGAGTAAGTGAATGATCATTCCATTCCCATGTCATTCCTTCATACCAATCATGCCATAAGTGTCTTATTAAATAAGAAATTATTTCATGAATAATTATTATTGTGCATTTAAAAATTTGAGAATATTTTTGTGACTTAATAAATAGAGAATAAAATAAAGAATACTATTCATGATAGGTTAATTAATAACTATAACTACAAAATAGATAAGATAATGTATTGTGTCAGAATAAGTTAACTTATTGGGTTATCATGCGACGTGTGATTAATAGTATGCGATGAATCATCAATTACAAAAAAACAGACAATAGACCTTGTTGCTTTTTTATTAAATGGTTGAACACTTTAACAGACATGTGGTTATTTTTTATAGATCAATAAAATATCTATATCTGTACTAATATAAAAGGAAGAATAATTTTGTAAGAAATTGCACGGATTAAAAAACGTCCTTATATTTATATTATTTTTAATAAAAAAATTGTAATAACTATTAAGTATCTCAATGAATATAATCACGATTTAATATTTCAATAAATTAGGATTCTAACAAGGACAAAACTCTTTAAAAAATAAAATCTAAACAAAATAGATTTAAATAGGTAAAAAAAAATATTAACTTATCAATAAATAATAAATTAATAAAGGAGATGCAAACTATTTTAATATGATTGAATTGAATTAAAATATATTCCAAAATATATATGGACAAATAAAAATGTATGGGAAGTACTATCCTCAATTTCACAACATACATTATTAAATATGAAGTATTATAGTATAAATTTGTTACAATTTTAAATCTATATTATTTTCATATTACTAATTACATAACTACATGTCATAATAAACAAATTTGATACTCCCTCCTATTTTTAATAATTGTAGTTTTGAGAAGTTGCACAGTAATTAAAATTTTTTTTTGCCAGCAATAACCCTCATTAATGAGGATGGAGATGGATGTTTTGAGAAAAAAGGACAAAGAGTGAATATATGAAAAGACGTAATGTATTTATTAGCTAGATGAGAGTAATAATGGAAAAATATGTACAAAAAATCCAAAACGTCATTTATTTAGTTAATTGCTGATAAAGCCAAAATGACATTTAAAAAAAATAAGAGGTGGTATAACATAATTATATAAAATATACATGAAACAAATAGCATGATATATAAAACTGCTCAAATGTCTTATTCGAAAAAGTAGAGTATCAAGTAGGATAGATGAAAAAAAAAAATAATAATAAAAAAAACACATATAAAAAAAAAACACATGATATAATATATGTATTTGGACATGAATTTATGGACATAATAGTAATTATTAAAATATAAAAAGCATAACATTATTCTATTTTTATTCATATATAGATTTAATTGCTAGAATTAAAATATTTGAACACAATAATAAATTGATTAGAAAAAATAATAATGTTAACTAATATATATCTTTTTTATTTTACTAAGAATCTATAAATTGTGTACTGCATAGTTTAGTTAAAAGGTGCCCTTTATTAAACTAAAGTTGGACAACTATTTTAAATCATATTTTTTTTATCAAAAGAGTTAATTTTTAAAAAACCAACAAAACCTTACAAAACATAAATATATCAATAAAAATCACATTATAACAAAGAATATCATTTAAAAAAATTAAATGCGACGACATATTGCCAAATAGATAAATATTGATTGCTTAAGATATCTTTTCTATTTGATATATTTATAATAGTAACACTATAATTACAACAATTAGTAAAAGATATACAAGTATAATTTTTTAGTAAAATTAAAAGTATGAATTAGTAACACTATAATTTTTTAATAATAACTTGGTAATAATAAAGTTCACAGAGCGGCTAAAAGTATCATAATATAATAAAATTCTAATTCTTCTCTTCTCAATATTTTAACAAATGATATGCTTCTTAATATTGTCTCATTTTTTTTATTTATTTTGTGTTCAAGAAAAAACCTTTATCTTGAATTTTCTAAGCATTATGTATAATGGGAAAAAATTGGACAATTAAATCATTAAAGAAGTTATTAGACACATAAGTACTGCAAATTCGAACGAATGTAAAAGATACTATATATAATAAACAATGCTAAAATAATTGCACCAACCAAGATGGTCAATGATTTGCAAACAATAAATTATATAGTTCGTTTGTCTTCTAAATAAAAAATGTCGAAGCTTGATCAAAACATTCTTGAATGTTTGAATGAAATTGTCCCCTTTTTATATAGGAATATTTACAATCTCATTGTGTATTTTGCTCGAATATATGTACAATTATTTTACAGTACGTACTTCATGTAATGTGATGATTTCAAAAAGGAACTTAGCGTCTCGAGAGAAATACATGTAACCAAAATTTTAGAAAGTCAACTTTTATTTGGAGATGAAATTCATTTCCACTTCGTGGGGTAATGCCTCCATGGGGTAGGTATGGACATAATAATGAAATTGTTTATACAATGATAAAAAAAATATCAACAATTTAATGACACGGTTGGTTAATTCACAAAGATATTCATGAACTGTTAGTAGAAATACCTTATAAAGATCATACAGACATGAAATTTGACTATATGTTTGGCCAATATATTTATAAGTGTTTGAATAAAGTAGACGTTTTGCCAAATGAATTAAGACAAATTTGCAATAGTATTGATGTATTGGGCTCCAACGAGTATGAATGTTTCTTATGAAAACGTCAAAACGAAAATGAAAGGAAATCACTCTCTAATCATCTAACATAATTAAATAAAATAACTAATGCATCTATAATATACATTAGGTACTTATTTATTTATTGAGTGTTTTTTTTCCATTAGGGACTGTATTTTTCTTGGGGTTGTAATATGTTATTTCATTATTTTTATATTAGGACATCATTATGTTATTTAAAAAAAACATTAGAAGCTTATTTGATCTATATTTTACTTCGTTCATGCAATGATATGTTTAATAATTAATTAATTAATCTATATATATTGAAAAAGAGAGGTCAATAAATCATTTATGGAAACTACATAAAAAATCTCAGTCAACCCAATTGACTTACTTATAATAGAAACCATTTAAAACTTCTGCATAAAACAATGGTGGAGATATTTATGAAATCCGGTAAACACGCCACAAAAGCGCGTGAACTGTTTTGCCCAAAATTATGGAATGATTTTCGAGTCCTCTACACAGATTTTACACAGATTTCACAAATGCATGGCCTAAAAACTATGAATCATCCGATTTGAATTTTAAATTTTGCACACATGTTTTGCTCACGTTTTTAGTGAATTCATTTTGGAATTATATAATTATTTATGATATATAGATATGTATGGAGATTCAACAAGAAATTCTGTTGGACTTGCACTTTTCCCGCGCATTAAGAAATTAATTTGGATATTTCAATTCATTTATATTTAAGAATTTTGTTAAAAAAGAACACTAATATTTAAGAGTTTGATTTGTAAAGAAATCTGCCATTAACCGTGAAATTGTTTGTATATTTAGTGTAGAGATTTTTCTTGCTAAAACGTTTTGTTTAATCTAATTTAATTTATCTTTCTAATTTATAATAATCAATTACAAAAATAATATTTCATTATTGTATTTCACAACAATTGATTTTCTTATTAGGTGACTAATTAAAAAATTCACCATTCGATTTTACGTACAAGTAAATTGAAAGTCAAATAAACATATGTAAATAAATAATCTACATACAATTTTATAAAATCGTTTTATTTCTGGTAAAAGAAATCAGATTTGATATAGTAGATGATTGTTTTGCAAACCCATTTGCTTTACAATAAAAATAAATATTCGTACTAATAGATACACACATAAAATAAAATATACCACGTATAAAAGAGAACACATAAAAAACACCGAGGCTAATATACTATCTATAGAGATATGTATTGTAAACAAAAAATAATTGATTGAATTTTATATCGGCCTTAAAAAGAAAACACATAAAAATGTTCCCGATGAGCTACATAAAAATATACTATCTATCTATATATATTGAAAAAGAGAGGTCAATAAATCCTTTTAAGAAAGTTTTAAAAGCTACGAAGTCAACGTTATTGACTTACTCAATTTGACAACCCTTTAAAACGTGCAATTCGAATTTGTGATAGGATTTGACGATTGCAAATTGTGGCGCTTTTTTGTGATAAGATTTGACGATTGCAAATTGTGGCGCTTTTGTAGGTTCACGTGTTTTAATTGGTATCAAAATCTCCTTATTTATCTGCATTAGTTATGAATACAGCGTTTAAAAAGGTTATATTCTTATTTAACATATTCTTATCTTTTTGGTTATATCCTAACAATATCATCCATAATTTCGGTAGAGATAAACATGTACAATGTATAAAAAGGAAATCATTAATTTTCGGCGAGATTTATATCATCAACGCTTATCAAATATATATTGATACGGAATCCCAAATTTGCACCGATTGTTTGCCAACAATATTAGCTACTATTTTTTCCTTCCAAAATATAGCTACAAAAAATTCTAGCTATAAAGATGTTGATCTAGAGGGAAAAGAGCTTAAGAACCTTAATGGAGCCTGAAGCGAAAATTGGCGTGAACCCATATATGATCTGGTGTCCTTTCGGCCGTCGAAGTTGCAAGGCTGTTGATTTTCTCCACACCGGAATAATTCCTGGTTTCTAAAGCAACTGACTGAAGTCAAGCAATATATTGCTGAATGAGCACCAGAAAGGAAAACTAAGTGATTATGGGTTGTCAGTTGTGGCGATCAAGTGATTCACAAGGACGACGTATCTATCAACTCTGTGTATTGTCTCCATTTGTTCAAGTCTTCAAGATATAAAAATACTTTATAGTGCACTCCACTAACAAATCGTACTTGGTTTCTTGGCTTATAGGAGGAAGATGGCCTTAAATCATGGTAAGATAACTCTCCCGGTTAACAATTTTTCATCTTCCCATTTTATAGGCAATGTTTTTTTATTTATTTATTTCTTTCTCTTAATTTTTCCTATCTCCAAGATTAAGATGTTGCTCTGTCTGTTTTAATTTGTAGGCAAATGAAAAGCATAGAGGATGACCTTTACAACTTTGGGCTTATATTACTCGAGTCGCTTGTGGGGCCATCCAATACTTGAATGGGCGTAAGCGATTCTAGAAACATGATAATTCTTTTACTTTTGTCTAACAAATGATAGAGCTTAAACTCTCTGAGACCGGAAGGAGTTACTGAGATCGGTCGGCCGTTATTTGGGATGTCCTTTTATTTTTGGGCCGGATTTTTCGTACTAAGTCAAAATACTTCGATTGTGCTGTGTGGGCGTGGCCATATTTGTCAGGTCATTTTTTTCTTTTTTTTATTAAAGAAGAAAATTAGTTACCGTAATTATGTGAAGCTATATCAAGAGATTTATATTGATACTACTATCTTCCTTATGTCAACATAATTTACATTTATTTGCAATGATTAGATATTTTCAAATCATGAAAAGAAGAGAATACAGGTGAAAGCAGCGGCTGAAGGTTTTGAAGGCACTTTTGATACAGGGTTTGATTCACAACAGAAGGAGCTAGATGATGGACAAATACTAGAACACGTGCTTAAGGAGTATTTGGGTTTTGGATCTTAGATAAGTATTTGGTTTTTCAAAGTTGTACGTGTGTGTATATATATTATTAATGATATGTACGAATATCTAGCATACGTTTCACCGGTGACATCTCTTAACAACTACTATTTCATTGACCACAAAAAATCCATGATCTAGAGATGCAAAGGTCTTGGTGAAGAAGAAATGCAAACTGTGGAGCAAGATAAAGTAAGAGCTCAATAACTCATGTGACATGTGAAGGTGTGGCTTTTATTTTTAAATGTACCATTTGTTACGTTTATGTTCATAAATTAATAGTTCAATAACTCGTGAAATGTGAAGGTGTAGCTTTTATTTTCAAATGTACCATTTGTTACTTTTATGTTTAATGTCGTTAAAGATTTAACCATATTTGTAATTATGCAGAATAAATTTTAACACGATAATTTTATTATATACTTTGATTCATTTATGTATGATATTTTCTTCCACTTCCTGCATTAATTACATTGTAAATATTTTAAATATGAGAAAATTTCATTATAAGGTCCAACTTTTTGACATTGTATAAATTTAAGGCTTGAATTTATTATCTCTCAATAGAAGACTCACATTTTAAGTTATTCTCAATTTAAGCTTTTTAGTTAACTTCTCATTCTATATGAACCAATTGACTTTATTTTATGATATAGTTATGTAAACAAAAATATTTTTCCTTTTTGTAATTTATGTTGTACATACCAATGATAATATAATTTATTATCAGTTATGTGCATTGTATGAAGGAATTTATTCCTTCAAAAGACACATAATCTAGATTTGGTTAAATCACATGAACCAAAAACACGGCAAAAAAATATTAATCATTGTTGATCTTGAAGATCTTTTTTTTTTTTTTTTTTTTTTTTGCCGATTATTAGTTTATTTGGGGATTACTAGGTTTAATGGTTAGAGAACTTCTATTAGTTTGTTTTCTATAGTATTTGACGAAATTTGGTAATTTTGAATTTAAAAATAATTGGCAAATATAGTTGTCCATTTTATTTGATGAATGAATGAAAAATTTAGCATATTTATTTAATTAATTTATTTATTTTTTTGTACAAATTAAAAACCGTTTATCTTAATAAAAAGAAAGTGATTAAGTTATTATTATTATTATAATTCAAAGTGATGCGCTGTAGCTTTTTTTTGAAAACAAAATTAACTCAATAATAACTTGATTGATCTCACATTCGTTTCCAACATTATAGCATTGTTTTTTCTAAAAAAAAAAATATATCCTGATGTAATGAATTAGTATGAATAGTTAATTACTCTATAAATCTGAGTATACCGCTTGAAATCTCGAAAAATGAATAAAATTTACAAATATACTTTTTGAATTAAAATAAAATTATGAATATAATACGTAATTTAAAAAAATTACAAATTGCTATCCCGATTATTTTTTAACGAAGATTTATAAATATAATCATATTTACGGGGAATGAACTGACGGGAGACACACATGACTAATACAATTTTTACTTATAGATTTGACAAAATCCGGCAGTCCTTTTTTCTTTTATATATCACATATCATTGCCTAAATTATGATTTTAATTTTAAAAAAAAATACCAAATCTTAAAGTGGAGTTTGATTTATTTATTAAAGGAATATGATCCCTTAAATGAAGGAATTTTATTCCTTGAATAAGCACATAATCTGAACTGTAATCCTAGATTTATTAAGAATGTGTGTCAACAAATATGAGGGTCTATTTAAACTTCATACGAGGACGGATTTGATTATATTTCAAATTCAATATCTAAAAAATTGAAATTTTAGAATTTTACTTGCTAGGAAACTCATTTTATTATTTGATATGGTTAATTTTAACACGTTTTTTATTCTGAAAATATCTACACAAAAAGGGATTATACATAATCATAGAATTATTATATGATAGGGCATCTATTGGTTGGATATCACATATCATTGCCTAAATTATGATTTTATTATTTTTAAAAAAGCAAATCTTAAAGTAAAGTTTGATTTATATATTAAAGAAATATGATCTCTTAAATGGGACTCGATTGGTTGTGACTAAACTATCTACTCATGTTCTCGAATGTAAAATATTGACAGGAGATCACGCTGGTGATTGGTTGTGACTAAAATCTCTACTCATGTTCTCGAATGCAAGATATTAACAGGAGATCATGCTGGTGAGATGGTCTTGATTCCTAGGATGAATATCTCTCCATCCGATACTAGGAGTCTATTTAAGTTCCGGCAGCGACAATTCTCACTTATGGTTTCGTATGCTATGACCATAAACAAGAGTCAGGGACAGTCTTTATCGCACTTATATTGTTGTTTTACGTGTAACTAATAGAAGGGAGTTGAAGATATTAATTTGTGATAATGACGAGTTATCCAATAATTAAACTCATAATGTTGTGTACAACGAGGTTTTTAATAATATATGATTATTTCGTGACGAATATTTTATGATTCAATAATGTTCCTATGTGTTATAATTATTTCGATTCTAATGCATGTCAAATTATATTATTCCCTAAATTTATACAGTCCGTGCATCGCACGGGTTACATACTAGTTTTACTAAATTTAATCGTTAAAAAACATTCATCACCACGTGCGATGCACGTGCACTTTACTAGTAGCTCTAAGTGGAGATGATTTGGATTAAAATTAAAATATTAATTTTTATAATCCACAGCTTGATTGGATGGACATGGAATGAGAGCCTTTCACCTAAGTTTGATCACAATTATAATGACCCGTATGTATTAATATCCAGGAATTGGATATATGTTTTATAGCTGTAATAAACTGTAGTAGATTTGGATTTAAATGAAACCCAAGTTTGATCAAACTTATAGCGACCCGTATTTTAATATTCAGGAATCAAATACTTTATTAATTATCCTTGAGTTCGAAATATGGTAATCGTAATATTGGGGTCTTAAATGAATCCAACATTCCATTTGGATTTATGAAAATACCTTTAAATTACACGAGTGTTTGATAAAAAATTAATTATGCAACAAAAATTAAAGATGATATAAAAATTTTATTGTGTAATAAAAAATTATAAATAATTAATAAGAAAGTAAAAGAAATTATAATATTATTATGAATTCTAGAAAACATTTGGTATGGAATATTATTCGTTCTATTCAAGATATATTAAATTTGGTCAAAGTTAATTATTTAAAATAATGCTTTTATTTTACACTCGATTTGTTAAAATGATATTTATTTAATCTTACATACACACACAAACACACACACACACACACACACACCCCTATATATTTATATTATCCACAACTCAATAATTTTATTTTGAATTAATTTAATTTTTTCCAAGTTTGATTAATATTTTATATACACAATTTTCTTTCCTCGTCTATTACATTTTTAAATATCTTCAACTTTATAATATTTAATAATTTAATAATTAACGTGTATGGATGTAATATTTTTAAACTTTATGAAATATAATAATTATTATTTTTTAATTAGATTAACATTTTTCTTCAATTTTCAATATCATTATATAATTCAATATCTTTGTAGTCTTTACTTAGTTGAGAAACAAATTTTAAAATATCATTTTATATTTGTTTTATGTTCTTATTTAGTTTACATATCTTCTTTTCAATTATAATAAATATCTTATGATATGATAATATAAATCAATTTCTATTTCTTCATAAAATAATTTGTATTTTTTTTAATATTTTTAATTTAGTCCGATAAATCAATTTAAATTTTATTTATAAGGATATATATATCAGTGTTTTGTATTATATATATGTAATCAGGATGTCAAATCGAAGATAACTAATTTGATATATCATATAAAATACAATTTTTTTTTATAAAATTTAAAAATAAGAACCAAGAAACATTTATAATATCGGTGTATGAATTAAATAAGAAAAAAAAAGATAATATATGGTAATGTAGGAAAAGTAAACATAAAATAGTTTATAGTAACTATTGTTTAAGAAAAGAAGGAAGAGATCAATGACAAATTTAATGCGAATAATATAGATATTTAATGTAATCTAAGGTTAATTATTATTTTATATAAAATATTAATTTATATTCAATCCTAGTTACGAAGCATAATTTTTTGCCACATAGAATTTAGAAGCGTGCATGTCTGCCACTTAGGCTTAACGACAATTATATATAGGGGGATATTGCCCGTGACTTACCAGGGTACAAGGGAAAAAAGATTAATTGTATCGAAAGAATGAAGTAAAGAAATATTCTTATACCAGAATAATAAAAAATTAAACATACAATTAATAATTAAAAAATTAATAAAATTATTTGATATGATACTTGTGTTTTACACTCAATTTGTCAGAAGCTAATTTTAATCACATGAGAGAGAGAGAGAGAGAGAGAGAGAGAGAGAGAGAGAGAGAGAGAGAGAATATTATGTGCAACTTGATAATTTGTTTTTTTTTGTCTTTAAATTTATAAGTTTGATTATATTATATAATATTGTATATTTATATAATTTTCTTTGCTAACCTACTAGTTTTTTAACTATCTTAACCTATTCAGTAATTTAAAATGTCATGTGTCAAGTGTAATATTTTTTAAACTTTACGAAATATAATAGTTATGTTTATTATTTTTAATTATAATATTCATTGTTTTTTGAATTTTTAATATCATTACAATGCTAAGTCTACTTGTAAGCTTTTCTTAAACTGAGACATAATTTTTTATAATATTTTTATTTTATTTTTATACTTTGATTATTATTTTTATACATAAAAATAACTATTTTATGGCATTGTATCACAAATAAATTTTTATTAATTTTTAAGATAATTTCTTGCTTTATTCTTTTTTCAAGATTCTCAACCAAAGACGGCAGACATCTCCAGACCCAAAGCCACATGTGCCTGGAAGCAAATAGCAAAGCTTTGGCAAGTGGCAGTGGGGGGAGCACGTTTTGGGATGCGGAGGAGCTATTATCGTCCAGCTCCCTAACCTAATGTGGCACCGGGTTTGGACCGCAGGGAACCATAGCATGGGGGGACGTCTAATCCTTTTGCCGCCGCAAGGCTGGCTAATCGTACGCAGCAGCTACCGTCTTGCTCCCCAAACCTATTGAATTGCTGGCTAGTTGATATGAATTGATAATAGGTTGGTTGACTCATTCTAGTAAGCAAGTCAAGCCCTTTTCGCGTCTTACCTCTGCTGTTAGCAGATTCGATTGGAGTATGCAACTGGCCTTCTTCTTTATCTTTATATACGAGTTTACCAGGGTAGAACATTCCCCTTGGGGCTACGAATGCCTTCCTTTGTTCAACGCCCTTACGAGGTAGTGATGAGTTTCACGCGCTCTAAGCCCGAACCTAAGCTATAGGAAGATAGAAAAAAAGTAGAAAAAAGAGCGTTCTTGAAAGCGAACTCTACTGCTACTGGTTCATTCGAGGCACAGGGATGGGAGAACCAATGCGTTTAATCAACCGCTTTTTTTAAAAAATCTGCCTCCAGGAAGACAAGATAGGGGGACGCTAAAAAGCCGTATAGTGCAGGAGCTCTCCCCAATCAGATCGAACTGGCTGACTCTTAAATAAATTTAAATTTTATTCATAAGGATAGATAACCGTGTTCTATTTTATATATACAATATGGATGTTGAATCAAAGATTGTTAAAAGCTAATAAGAAAAAAAAGTAATAACTCTTCTTTTTCTTTGTTTAAATTGAATGGATTTTGATTGTATCTATACGATTTTTCGTGGAAGTTTTGTTTAATCTCTATTTTCTTTGGGTTGGTAATTCAACGGCAGAGTGCTCGATGAACATGGGGACTAGTTGATGAGCCTCCCCATACAGGGGGCTCGTTACTCGATCTCTTCCTCGGGAGTGCCTTCACTCATCGGAATTGCTACCACCTGAACTGTTCTCCCTCGGTGAAAGTCCTTGGGCTGCTTACTTTAGACTTGTTCCTTATTAGTCAATCACATTTTTAGAAGCAAAGTGAAGTCATAGACATTTGAGGCAACTGTTATGAATGTGGAGGAATGAGGTTGTTCCTATCTAACGAAAGGCTATTTGATCAACTGACAAAGGCATTGCTAAGAAAAAGATGGATTTTCCCAGATGAAATGCAAATACATGTAACATGAGAAAGATTTTCCTTGATCTCTTCATAATGTGGGATAGAGTCGAGCTCAATTACATCGACCCTCAAGCTCTCTCCAACCTATTCGAGAATGGCCTATAACACCTAGTTTGAAGGCCTCTAATTTGAAGTACTTTGCAGTTGGCTTTCCAGTTAGCTTATTCCAGCAGATGAAATTGCAGCTACTTCGAAAAACAGCCGCAGCAGGCTATGTAAAGGGACTGACTTTCTTAGAAAATAAGAAGAAGTCACATTTATAATCATTGGTGTATGAATTGAACAAGAAAAGAAAATATAATATATTATAATGTAAAAAAACGTAAAATAAATGGTAACTAACTATGAAAGAAAAAAAAAAAGACACCAATTAAGAATTGTGAATAATATAGACATTTAATGAAATCAATGCCTAACTAATTTGGTATAAAAAATATGAATGTATGTCCAAGCCTCATTGCGAAGTATTATTATTTGCCACATAGGATCTGAAGTTTGCAAATCTATCCGTTAGGCTCAACGCATTTAAGAATTATAAAAGTGAATTGAAATCCAGCTTCGAGAATTATAAGAGGCAAAAGAAATTCGATTATTCGTATTTGTATTCTATTCGTTATTAAAGTTAAATTGTAATTAGTATTGTTGATGACCGACTTGATTTCCCAAAGATTAATTGAAGGATCGATTATTTTATCTTGTTAATGATCCTTTAAATTAATTTCTGGCGGCCAACTTAGTTCAACTCGGTGCAACTAAACGACGACCGACTTTGGACAACTGAAGAAATAACCGACCAATTGCCTAACTCCAAGACCGACTTCACATTAAAAGACAAAGAACTGACTACGCAAACATTTTTATTCAAGATTACCCATTCAAACCGAGATTCGAGGTGATTGAATTCCAAAGCAGGAGACATTGTACACTTCTAATTGGACCATCAAGTCAAAGAATAATCATTGATGTCTCCTCATAGCATTACACGCCGCTTTATTGAAGCTATTCAGCATTAAATGCGATCTGATTTACCTCGGACAAAAGACAAAAATGCCATACTATAAATAGTAGAATTTATGACTGTATAAGGATCTTTTTCCGCACATTGTACACGGACTATAAAAACATCTTGGTTACTTACAGAAACCGACTTCCTATACTCTCGTGAAATAATCAATAATCCAAGAAATTCACGTTTATTTTCCTTTAAATACACCTTGTTTTTGTTTATATGAGTTGTTAAATTTCATACAATAACAAGTATTAACTTCGGTTAAGATACTATAATATATTTGATTTAAGAGTTTAAATTTTTTCAAGAATATTTAGGTATTTAATTGAGATTCTCTAAAATCTTGAATTGACACGAGGTATGTTTAACTTATTTAACACTGGAATTTGTTAGGATTTTCAAGATGTGCTTGATTTCAAACACAAATTAAAAAAATTCCAAATCATATGCTTATACCTAAGATTCTTAGGGCGAGGTTCAATATAAATAAAATTGAGTTTGGTTGAATTTATTGGTCGAAATGAGTTAAGTTTGAATAAAGTTGATTGAGTGGAGGATTGAGCGAGATTTTAGGATTGAGCGAGATTTTAGGTTGACGTGATGTGTGATGATGATTGATTGATATTATTTAATTATCTTGATAGTAGTAAAAATAATTTTGTTGAATTAAAATTTGAGTTAAAGAAATAAAAAATTATCCGATCAAAATTAATTATATTTTATAAACAATCATGCCCTTTAGGATTAGCTAAAATTAGTAGTTTTTAAAATATTTTTTTTTATTTTCATTCAAAATCTCAAATCTATACTTATATTAAAAGGTATACCATTACCAGATTTAATATAAAGAAAAGTCAACAACATTTATTGCATTACTATTTCCATATTATACAATCTATACTTATATAAAAGGAGATTCTATTTACTACATTTACTATCCAGAAAAGTCAACTGCATTAAATGCCATTACTATTTTGGTATTATAATATTTTATTTATTTAATTGATTTATTTATTTGTTTTATTTTAAAAAGGTAACTATAATAAAAAGATTTTAATAATAAAAAAATCAAATACCAAATAAAAATGTACACTTTGACTTATTTGATTATATTTGATATTTGATTATACCAAATATATTCCTATTTAGTATATACATTAAATACTTACTAAAGTATTTATTTGTTTTATTTGTCAAAGTTAAGTATAGATTTGTTTATATTATCAAATCATAAAACAAATAAATATATCTTGTGTTTCGCACGGGTATTTGAACATTATACAATTTTCTTGCGTATTATAAACTTTTATTGAATATTGCATCTTATAATATAATATTCTCCAAATAAATATATCTCGTGCTTCGCACGGGTCACGTACTATATATATCCTGTACATTTTTCTTTATTCATGTATATAATTATAAGCTGGATAAATAACCTTAAAATTGTGCATCCTGTGCATCGCACGAGCTCTGTACTAGTAAATATTTAAATACAACTCTTATAATCTGATGAGTGAAGAAACTCGAGAAGTGGTTCATTTAAGCTTTGATGGCGCCCTCTACTATCATCTCGTCAAATTAGGGTTTTGAAGTGAAAAAAAAGGGTTATTTCTTCAATCTCCAACTGCACATCCTAATTCATTTCTAATGCTCTCCCGCCATGAAAATTTCTGAGAAATCCTTAAAGCTTTGATTTTTAAGGTTATAATCGTAGGTTTAAAACCCTCCGACAATGGCATTCTCGTTCACTCCTCAGCCACAGCAGCCACAACAATCCCTATTTCAGTCTCCATTTCAGCAATCTCCGTTTACCCAACAACAACAGCAGCAGCAGCAGCAATCCCCTTTTCAGTTACAGCCTCAACAGCAGCCACCGCCGCAGGCGCAGACTCAGCCGCAGCTTTATCTTTTTACGAAGGATAAAGTTCCCGCAACGTATAGTACCAAATGGGCGGAGCTTCACCCCGATTCGCAGAAAGTGCTCCTTCAAATTGAGTATGTTTTTACCTGTTACTAAAAATTTCAGCGATTTTTTTTTTTTTTTTTAATTGTGNTTTTTTTTTTTTAATTGTGTGTGCGCGTTTGTTCTGAGAAGGTTCTGTTTTTTTGTTGTGCTAGTTGATTAGGAATGAAGTTTTATTTGGGTGTAGGGAGAGGATATTGGAGTACAGAGATGAGAGCCAACGATTGGACCAGTGCAGCAGGCTTTATGACTCGTCGATTTCTAATAATGGTTTTGAGCTTGACGCCAGCTACATTGTTAAGGTATTTATGTGCTGGTGATGGCTTCCCTTCTTTTTGTTGTTTAGAAGGTTTTAGTCTTTATTATCAGGGTTGTTTGCTGAGGAACTGTGCTCAGTGGCATGAAAGGAGTTCTGTTTTAATGTGTGTTCTAGGTATATGTGCTGTGTGAAAATGTAAAACCGATGCTTAATTAATAATTTATTTGGTGTTGATCTCTTAGAATTGGGAGCTTGACGTCTTGAAAAACTATGTCAGGACTGTTTTTTCTGCATGTTCAAGTAGTTATTGTGGCAAGATTATGATTCTTTTTGTGAATTTTTACAACAACAACAACAACATAGGCTTTAGTCCCAAGCAAGTCGGGGTAGGCTAGAGATGAAACCCAAGAGAAACAATGGTAAGAGAAACACAAAAGGGTTCGAAACAAAAGGAAGAGGTTGGAACAAACAGGGAAAAGAACAAAAGTCACGGTTCTGACACGTTGAATGTTAGCCTCCAAGCGCTCCTATCCACCGCTAAATCCTTGGAGATATTCCAATTTTTAAGGTCTCTCTTAATCGACTCTTCCCAAGTGAGTTTAGGCCGACCTCTACCTCTCTTTACATCCTCGACCCGCTGTAGAACTCCCCTACGCACCGGTGCATCAGGAGGTCTCCGTTGGACATGTCCGAACCACCTCAGCCGATGTTGGACCAATTTCTCTTCAATTGGAGCCACCCCGACCCTATCCTCATTCCGGATTCTATCCCTTCTTGTGTGCCCGCAGAACCAACGCAACATACGCATCTCTGCTACACTTAGTTGTTGGACATGTTGCCTTTTTCGTAGGCCAACATTCAGCACCGTATAGCATCGTCGGGCGAATCGCTGTCCTATAGAACTTACCTTTTAGCTTTTGTGGCACCCTCTTATCACAAAGAACGCCCGACGCTTGACGCCATTTCAACCAACCGGCTGCAAATTTATGCCTAACATCAGCATCAATGCCGTCATCCTTTTGTAGCATCGATCCTAAATACCGGAAAGCATCCTTTTGTGAATTTTTACAAGGAACTGATTTTAGTAATGGTTTATATTTGAACATTTTAAAAAGGTGCTGATTGTGGTGATATAAATTTCGTTGTATTAGGTTTCTCATATGTTTCTAGGTTTCTTTTGCAATTAGCCCAGTAATGGTGAATCCATACGCTTACCCTCTGTGATGTAGAATTCTGGTTCTCCTTGCTGGCGAATTATCCCACTTTTGTTATCTCCTCCTGTGATAGCTTTTGCTTGGTGTAAAATTTTTGTTCTGTTCTTTCAGGAACTTGGTGGAGTTAGCATAGCCATGGAAAGACAAAAGGCGACTCTGCAAGAGCTCATGACTGCTGTGAAAGATATGCTGAGAAACACAGAAGTTGCCATTCGATCTTTTATGATGCTACGCCCCAGGTTTCTACATCAAAGTAAAGGTGCTTTGGTAGGCCCCACTGCCCCATCCCAACCTCAAGGAGTAACTACCACACAGACATCAGGTGGTCAAGCTGCCGCAAATGCTATGGTGCCAGTCTACGATTTTTACAGTGGGCTTCCCAAGAAACCTTCACCCTTTTTGCAACAAACTGTTGCCAGATTCGAGAAGTATTTGACTGAGTGCCATCAGTGGATTGAAGAATTGGAGCAGTTGCTCCTCTTAGACTCTGAAAGAAACTCTTCAAATACAAGCTCCTCACTATTTCAATCCTTGCCTAAAGTCTTGACAAATGTGCATGACTTCTTTGTGCATGTGGCAGCAAAGGTAATATTATATACCGAGTAACTCATTTACCTTTTTTAGCATTATTTGATTTTATAAACGGTTATGTTTGGATTATAGCGAGATTTGCTTTCTTGATTATGGCTACTAAAAGAATGAATTCATAATTTGATTAAAAAGAAGTACCTGTTCTATGTTGTGGCCCAAGATTGACTGTGGATAATGTACTTTTTTCTTTAATATATTTATATAGTGTCATTTTTTATTTGGTCATACGTTGATTTGTTTGACATCACCCATATAATTGAAACCAATCTATAGTTGAATTTCCTGGAATAAAATTGCCATATTTTTCTCCTAGAAAAATCTGATTGTGATTGTGACAGTAGGGTTGTTATCGAACCGAGCTGTTCGCGAACAAAGCTCGTTCGTGTTCGATAACAGCTCGTTCGTTTGGCAATCGAACCGAACTCCAAAATAAAATTATGTTCGTTTAGTTATCGAACGAACATGAACAAGTTCGCGAACTAAAAAATATTTTATAATTTTATATATTATATATAGTATATATATGTATAATATAATATATAAATATGAATATATATTAAATATCAAATAAAATAAAAATATTTTATAATTTTATATATTATATATAGTATATACATATATATAATATAATATATAAATATGAATATATATTAAATATTAAACATAATAACTTGTATGACATTAAAATAAAAAAAAAGTTAACAAACACGAACACGAACTTGTCAAACAATTCGAACAGTTCACGAACAAGTTCGACTAGATAAACGAACGAACACGAACTTGTCGAACCAATAAACAAACGAACACGGACGGAATTTTTTGTTCGTTTACTAAACGAACGAACACGAACATGTTCGAAAATTAGTCGAACTCGAGCTCGAAAACTTTAAGCTCGGTTCGGTTCGGTTCGATAACAACCCTAATTGTGAGACAGAAAAAGCAGTAAAGTTTAGATGGATCTACCCAACTTTTTTTTTAAAAAAAAAATCCAGAACTGCTCCATTCCTGATTTTCTTTTCATTTTATTTTTATTATTTCTCCGATGATATTTCTCTAGTGAACGTGACTTGTTCTCTTCAATAAATTTCAAGAGCGGATTATCGAAGATCATTTATACTTTGTGTCTATGATTGTATACATTTTTCTAGATTAAACCAAAAGAAGAAAAAAGAACCCAATATAGCTTTTATACATTTCTTTGTTACGTCATCTGATTATATAGAAAATGTCGCTAAAGACTTCATTTCTTTCTCTAATAATCTGCAAAGGTGGAAAGTATCCACCAATACATCGAATCTATGCGGACGGCCTACCTCGCTGACCAACGCCGCCGGGGGGATGAAAATGACCCGTTTCTCGAGGCTGATCGCCGTGAGACGGCCAAACTGGAGGCCGCGGCCCGGAGGGCTCATCCAACTCAGCATTTGCCTTCGGCTTCTCAACAGCCACCCAATCAGAGTAATGGACCCTTAGCCATCACGGGCCCACCTGGACAATCAACGGCATCAAATACTTTGGCTGCTGCCCAATCGGCTCCAAGTGCGAGTGGGCCGTCACTCTTTTCAACACCTGCTGTGGCCCAATCAACTCCAAGTGCGAGTGGGCCATCGCTGTTTTCAACACCTGCTTTGGCCCAATCGGCTCCTCTGTTCTCCACGCCGACATCAGCATCTGCTCCTTTCTCATCTTTGCTGGGGACTCCCCAGTCGTCGCCTTTTAGCTCCCTCTCTGCTGCTTCGGCTCCTGGGTTTGGCGGGTCCACTCCCTTGTTTGGTTCGACACCTGCTTCTGGAGTCTCGACTTTTTCTANTTGCTGGCTGCAATGAAATGATTTTTATATTGGTATATATTGAACTGGATTTTTTTTTTTTATTATTATTATTATTATCATACTCAACTGAATTTTTAATTGTTGTGTTTTGGCAAAGATGAATTTGCGTAGTACTTAATTTTTATAGACTGCAGAAATACAGATTAGTGATATAAAGCTATAGGTTAATGTCTATAAAGTACTTGAATTTCTCTCTCTCTCTCTCTCTCACACACACACACACGCACACACAATATATCTGTGCTTTGTAGAATTACATTATTATGATCATATGTTTCAACATGCCATAGCCTCTGATGTTCCTTTACTTTGTGAACAGGTGCTGCAATTGGATCAGGAGCAAGCTTTGGGACTCAATCAGTGAGTAACATCTGATTAAAATTTGAATAAAACTGTTAGCATTCTCCCTCTTTTTACCAACAACTAAAAGATCGCATGCAGTATGAAAAAATAGCTTTCGACAATCTAATTTGCTGTTTGTTATGTAAAAGAATTGAGTTGAGCCAAATGAGCTGTTAAGCATGAGGCTGAAATGAGTCATGTTCTGCTTGATATTCTTAAACACATGTTGTTTCAGTCAGGCTTTATGCAAACATGGGTTTTT